CCCAGCTCCAGACCTGAAGGTGGCTAAGAGCCAGTCTCAAGGGTTCCACCGGTCTCTAAGCCTACTGATCACCTGGTCTTTTTGATTATTTTGTCTTTTGTTCTACATTCTCCTCTCAATCTATCAAGATCTTCTGATATAAATCCCTTTTAAAGCAGCATCTAGGTCCAGTAGTCTCAGGGCTGCAAAGGCTAAAGTTTGCATGGTCCATTAATCCATTGGACGGATTGTTTCCAAGTATCTTCAGTTTTCTTCACTCTTCTTTCCTTCAGACAAAGAGAGACAAATAGATGTACCTTAGATGGCCACTCACCCCCCTTTAGGACTCTAATTGCTACTCAACAAAGCAGGATGTAGAGTACTGCCTTTGTGAACCATGTTCTGCCAGTTGCCCCTGCATCTCCTAAAACAATGGCCCTGATCCCCCAGACCCTGTGACTCATTCACTAAAGTGTTTGGTTATGGCTAAGAAGTTTTCATATCCTTTACCCCTTGTGTGGTCCACCACATTCATGGATATGTTTGCACATTAGGTATACATAGAAACATCAACTGTCAATCCTACATATATTTATAGAGTAAGACTATCTCTTTCCATTAATTTAGTACCTTTTCCCTCAGTTAGCCAGCTCTATGACCTCCCAAACCCTATGTTCCCTAATCTGCTTTGAGAACACCTATTCATACTACAAAACTCCATTCAGCCATCCCTCCTTTGCAGCATTTCTCAATGTCCATAGATAGAACATCACTGCAACTCTGAACTCAGGTTGTAGATACACCTTTTCCAGTAACTTGTCATAAGCCAGAGGTCCTAAGCTGACAATTTGGGGTTTCATGACATTGGCCCCTATCAGACATTTGAAACACTATTTTTGCATTAGATGCTAACAGGTAAAAATAAAAATTTCACCCACAGACACTCATGCACACACACACACCCCACAACCCCCAAATCATAAATAGAACCATATATAGTATTCTTGAAAATGAACGTTGGTGTCACTGGGACCACATTCCCTCCTAGAAGCAGTTGCCTGGATCAAACAGCATCCTTGTTGTCTTTACGGGGGAACATGTATTCATCAGAGTGGTCCCAACTCCACCACTCCTCTCCGTTTCACCCCCACTGTACTCCTTCATTTCCCCCTGTACTTCCCTATGGATATGTGAATTCTGAATGTTAGGGCAGGCCTTCTAGACGGGAGCTATTCTTGACTAGCTGAGGGTACCCTTGCATCTGGGACAGTACAAAGCACTAAGTACTCAATACTTAGTGCTCTGGATGGGACTTCCCAAACACTCCAATCTCCTCTTGCACCTCTGAATCTTTGGCACACTGGTCTGTCTGCTCTTTGACACAACTCAACTACCTCCAAACACAAGAGTTCCTTTCTTCCACTCCTACCCTCTGCTGACGGAGCCCAGCCTGGAACTAAGCTCAAAGGTCAATTTCTCTGGAAGCCTTCTTCAGCCCTTCTGGTTAAATCAGATCACACTCTAATACCCTTTGGGAGCCCTGTAGACATCTCCCCTTTTGCCATTATCAGTTTGTAATTATGTACTTGTGTCATGACTTCATGTCAATTTGCCCCATCCAACTATAAGTTCCACGAGGTCAGGGAATAGATGACTGTGGTTCATTTTTGAATCCATGGTGCCTCTTCTGGTACCAGACACATAGAAACCCCTCAAAGCTTGAATGAATGCACAAAGGAATGAACAAATGAATAAATCATTCCAGCCAGTTGGCCTGAAGGGTCAGAGGTGGGGGCGTCAGTTTTGATTTTGTGGAATATTGTCAAATGCTGGCCTCACTCGCTGTCTAAGCACTCTTGCCCGTGCTTTGTGTACAGGTTTACTTTGTCTGAAGCTGTGAGCTTCCTGAGGGCAGGGGCCTCAGGTTTGGTTTTGTCCTTAATCTTCTGCATCAAATGCATGCAGATTTTTTTTTTTTTTAGAGCACATTGGTTATCAAAATTAATGAGCTTGGATTTTATTTCTTTTTTAAAAACAGGGATTCACATATGGTCCATGCTTGCTTTTATTACCCCCAAATCGCTGTATTCCTGAGGCAGTGTACATCAGCAGTGCCCACCACAAATGATTGTGCTGGTGGGGGGGTGAAGCCCTATTAGCCCTGGCCATCAAGTTTCTGTTGGTCTGTGGCCTATTTGCTTAGTTTTTGAGGCATTTTCCAAGCATCATTAACCTTATCATATCCAATAATCACAAAAGTAGGAAAAGCATTGCATGTGCAATTGCAAAGACTTATGGTTATGAGTCTTTAAAGTGAACAATTTCACATGAGAGTGGGCCCAATGGCTATTTACAAGATGTTTGGCCCCATATGAAGTTGATTTTGTCCAACAGGGCAAGTTCTTACGCAGGGAGGATTTAAAAATACAGGTCATAGAAGGTTCTGAGTTCACACACACATCCTCATCAATGAATCAGAGAGCATAATTAATTAGCCAGAAGTCTCACTGGGATTAATTAACGATTGCGTGCGAAGAGACAAGCTCAGACTTGCAGCACGAAGGATGGAGTTCTCAAATAGCAGGTTTCCGGACCAAATCACTGCAAGGGGATCTTGCTGCAGGGCTGATGCAGTTCTTGGGGGTTCTAGTCTCTTCTATGGGACCAGCATGCACGTCCGGCTACTGCCGGCAGAGGGCAGCAGTACGCTGCGTGTAGTCAATTTGCATCCCTGATTAGCAAATCCCCAAGGACCTTCAAAGAAAGAAAGGGGGTATCCCAAGACCACCTTTAATTCCTTTGTTCCGGGTGTCAACACTGCTCTGCATCATTGCAAACACAGGCCTTTTAAATTACCATTGGGCTTTGGCAGGTCTGAAATAGAGAAATGAACACACAACTAGGAGCTGCCATCACAGACAGGAAGTAACTTTAATTAAATATTGTGAAAGTTGAAAAGTTTTTACAGCTTGACTTTTTGCAAAAAAAAAAAAATTATAACAATCTCTACAGTAGTTAGGTTCTCTAACAATTGAACTGTACAGTGTGTGTCTATTCAAAAAGTTTCGATAAGAAGGTGAAAGGTTAGTAGATTTAGAGATGACTTTGTTAAGCTGCATCCTAGTATAATGTGAGGCCAGGGCTCGTTCGCAATCCAGTCATCCAGAAGCTTTGTATTTGTTTCGTTTTGGTTTTTTTCCCCCAACACTGAAATCTTAATTTAAATCCCTATTTCATTTTATTCTTAAAGCCATATTCTATATTTAGGGGAACATCTTTTACCTTGTAAAAGAAGCTTTGTGTAGAAGAAAGAAGGGCAGAGGGCCAGAACGTCTTTTCAGCTAATCGATATAAATAGAAGCAACAAAACACAACTGATACACATTTTAAAGGCTCTTTGGGCTTTCGAGAGAAGTTCTAACCACTGCACATGGCTGGCAGATGGGTGTCGTCTGCTGTCAAGGTCGGGGTCGGACGCCGCACCGGCGGACTCTTCCTTCACCCCCAGCTAAGGGGCTCACCAGACAAAATATGGCTTTAAATTGTACACATCGTCAAGCCAGTGCTTACCACATGAATTCAAACAACCTTTCTGAGTACCGAGAAGCAAAGCGTCCATGTTGCTTACATTTTCCAGTTTTGTTTTTATTATTATTATTATTAATCATCATTATTATTATCTCTCACCATGAAAAATTCAGCTTTCCTCCCTTCCCTTCCCTCCCTCAACTCCCCGCCCCCACCCACTCCCACCCATAAAAATCGCACTCTGACAGTCTAGTGAAAACCATTGCAAAATCCATATGGGGCATGCACAGTTGCAGCATTGTTGTAAATGATTTCTTGCTCTACTAGAAAAAGTTACATTGTCTTAAGGTAACAAAACAGTTCTTTTGTGCTTTTCGATTTCTTTGTTGTTGGTTTTTTTTTTCTTTTTTCTTTTTCTTTTTTCTTAGAATGTTAGTGATGACTGACAGTTCCGGTGCACAGATACAATGTACGAGTGAAATGAGTATGATTTGCATTGTTAAGGCATCCAATCTGCTGGTTTATATTTATGTGAAAGACAGAGGAAATATACAAGCAGACTTAAGAAAGAAAGTATGTTCATTGATTTCTATGAAGTTTCTCCCCCGAATTTAATGCACAAAATGCGTCGCTCCAAAGGGAGAGATTCCATGCATATTAATAGAGTAAAACAGTATTCATTTTTTTTGTTGTTTTTGTTTTTTGTAAGCTTCCAAAGCAAAGGATACATTTCTTTTAATAGACAGAACTAAATGCTACAAGAATAATATGCTACTATTTTTTTTGCCATATATTGAGGGGGGGAAAAACTTCTTAACTTACAAATAATACAAAAATAGACAATGGATTTGGGTAGAAATTAAAAAAATTGAAGCATGGTTTAAAACAATACTAAAAATAACTATAAATGAAACCTTTAAAAATCACATTGAAACAGCTAATACAACTGTAGGTGACCAAACAAATACGCATCTTTTCACATAGCAAACACACACAATAAAATAAACTTGGGGGAGGGGGAGGGGAGGCAGGGAAGAAGGGGAAAAGCAATGTACAAATTCTGAAGATAAATACATTATTTATATGGATATTTTACAAAATCCCCTTTAAAACAACAAAAAGCCTTTTAATTAATGACGCAAATATGTGCAAGCTAAAGGTAGTGAGCTTTTTTTTTCTTTTTTGCAAAATATGCAGTAAAATCTTCTTGTGATCTTCAAAAACTGTCTTAAGACGTTAAAATGTATAAATAGAACAACAACTTTGGCAAAAAATCACAAAAGATCTACAGTATTTATAACTACATACAAAAACACAACAGCAAAGGAAAAAAGACCGGGGACACGCATCCTCAGAGCTTTGCTGCATCTCTGCTATTCCGTTTTAAGAACACTTCCCAGATATTGAGAGCAAAACTTCCCATAAAACAGAAAACTAAAGTTCTGGAGGTCTCCTCCTTCCTTCCTATTCCCCCCACCCCCCACCCCATTTCCTTTTCCTATGAATTCCAAAGCATGGTGCCTGTGGCAGTGGGCTCTCTCCCTTACAAATGGGCAGGGGTCCACTGGTCCAGGCACGCGCAAGCTCCTGCGTGGGAAATCTGAAATGCGGCCATGTCGCCCTTCTTGGCTTTGAGCTTTGGGGGTCCTGGGCCCACGTTAGCATTTTCTGTGCGCATGGTGGGGGTGCACGAGTGAGATTTTGGCGTGGTGACTGCGGGGCTGAACATAGGACTCCGTGCCTGGACCCTGTTCCATGAAATCCCAAAGGAGATGCAAGGTTCACACGCCAGTCTGGGTGCCACCTAGCTCTTCCAAAGGAGCTGGCATCCGTGAAAGCGCGTAACACCGCTGTAAAGATGCAGTTTTAACAATCTGTCTAGAGGCACTGGACTTTTCTGAGCGGAAGGGGAAATGTGGTCACTTACAGCGCTTCTTTCACGTTCCAGGCTGCACTTATTTACACCGTTACTTAAGACAACAATACGAAAGAGAGAAAGAAGCTTGCACTGCTAAGGGGTGGCATGTCAAGTTAGATACGGAAATGCACTGGCTGAGCTAACTACCATTTGATATGCTTTAAGGCGCAAAAGCCGACCCTTAGTTTTCTAAAAAAAAATCTAACTGGCATTCCTATTCTGTCCCATACAAGCTTTTTTTTTCCTTTTGTAACTTTTTTGTAAATATCTCACTTCGTTCTCCCTTTACACAGCTTTAAAAACATCATAAATTAAAACATGGAGTCTTTTTTATAGTGTCCCTTGGATAGAGCTTTACGGTTTATAAAAGACCAATGATTGCAGAGTTAAGCTGAAGAAAGAAAACAAAGAAAGGAAAGAAAAAAAGTGGATTTGCTTTTTACCAATACAGAATAAATATATCTCCCCAATACTTGGGAGGTACAACATGAACCCACACCCTGCCCTTGCAGATCCCTTCCAATTTCAGTATTTGCAAGGTCGGTGATTTTGTTTGTTTAAAAATCTGCAGTTATTGTGATTCCTCTTAAAAAGGCCTGAGTTAAAAGTTCCACTCTGGGACTTGTATCAGATTACTCTCTGTAGCAGAATCCAACCTCTTCATTAATAAAATTCTTCAAGGCAATTCTTTCACATGGGAGGAACAATCATGCCAGATATCGCTGTTGAAAGAGAAGACAAACGTCAATGGTTTTCCATCCAAACTTCTCACTGGATGGGGGGAGGGGGAAGACACCAACACACAACACCCACACAGGTTCTGTTTAGCTGAATAGGAACCAGAGACATATTCTTATTGCCTCTGAAACGAAGTCTTGTGATGAAATATAAATGTACTATATTAAAATGATAATATAGAAGCCTTTGCATGGATCTTGAAATCTTGAACAGAACAGAATATTCCCAACATCCCTCCAAATCTGATTTCAATTTTCAAACATCACTGGAAAACAGCATAGTTTGAATACCACTGAGAAAGTTGCAGCCCAGAGCGCTGCCAGAGAAAAAGAGAGAATTTTGTATTTGTCACTTTTTCCCCCTCTTCCCCCCTTCACTTTAAAAAAACAAAAAACAAAAAACCCCCACAAACATAAGAGACAAACTGGTCCATCCCGAGTGCTAGAGATTTAGACAGAGCAGCCCTGTCTCCCTCCATCCCCCTGTTCATAGAGGGCTGCGCAGCCGAGAGAGCCCTTAGTGCCTTATCTCCATCCTGGGCTGGGCCAGAAGGGAAGGTGGCGGCGACAGCAGCATTGCACACTGGGAATACAGAGATGGGAGGGAAGGCAAGCTTGCAGGGACTCTGCAGAAAGTCTTCCGCGGTCACTGCCCTCGGCATGTTCCTGGGAAATTACAACCAGGGAAGCTGAGGTGAGAGCCTGGGAAAGGGGGAGACAGTTCTAGCTAGCCCCAGATCTCTCCAAGTGTCCAGAGTGAAGAGGCCACCCCGGGGGGTATGTGGAGAGCTTGAATCAGACCCCCCGGGACAAATGACCCAATAAGCAAGGTGAACCGGAGACGACTGGTGCTTAGTGACTAATCCGTGGGGAACAGATTGCCAAAGTTTGCACCCCATCGTGTGAGCGTGTCCACCACAGATTGATAAATGATGATGGTGAAGCTGCTCACTACAGATGAGTACATCCGGCCTGGCAGGGACTGAACTGAAAAGAGGCTTTGGTTCTGTGGGGAGGTGCTGTAGGGCTGGGAGTGGGGCAAATAGGTGCCAGTCACACCTAGAAACAGGATCTTCAATGTGGTGAAAAAGTAGCAAACAGTTCCCTAGAGATTAGTAAGTAAACACGAGAGAGGCTCTGCCTACCTTGTTTATTGGGTAACCAGCTCCTGACTCTACTTCGGGCTTTGTTGTATCATGAGTAAAATCCCCTCCCTGGGCACCAGTAGCACGTCCACATGAACTGGAGTGTCCCCTGCTAGAAGGTGCATGGACCAGAGCATGTAGGACTGTTGGAGATGTCAATTAACTCATGCAAAGCGCCTAGCCTGGGTTTCCGCTCCTATGACTTACCCAGTACAAACGACAGAGACCAGAATGTTATGGCCAACAAGTCCACCTTACGTGGGACACAGTGGAACTGGGCTCTCCAGAGATGTCAACATCTGCTTTTCTAAAGCAACCAGGCCTTTCTTTCAACATGTCATGAACCCCAATCCCCCACTACCCCCCACCTCCTCACCCTTTTCAGTTAGAGCAGATCAACCTTTCAACCACCCCAGGGATGCCCAACAGACGTTAGCGGTTGTTAGTTTTGAACTGCCACTTCTGCCAACAAACTACCCTGTGACCACGTCATGTTCGCTGCCTAACTTCCTGGGCTTATTTCCTCATCCTTCAAACAGGCACCATCCCGGACGGATGGCCTGTCTTCCATCGAGGGGGTGTCTATAAGAACACCGAACACCGTCAAGATGGGAGGAGCCTGCTTGAGAAGCAAGTGGCAGCTATTGTTGGCTCCCCGGCTGGGTTAGTGTCCTATCAGGCGAGAGAATAAAAGGCCTGGCTCCCTTTATGACAGCTCTAAACGGAAATTAATGTTCTTGTGGGTGATGACTCGGTCTAGGAAGTGGGCCTCTTCACTTCTCAGCTATCACGCCTGGAAGCCTCTTCTCCCTGACCACCCCACCCTTGAAAAAAACATAACAAACTACCATGAAACCCCAAGTAGTTACAGGGCAGCGAGGTGAGTCTCAGAACCCTGTCCCCACACCCGCTGCTGCCCTGCCCCCATGTCCGACATTTCAGATTTGATTTTAAAAATTCTTTTTAAGTATTTTGCCAAACACTTTTTCCGTTAATTTTTAAACCCATCTGTATTCACAAGGAAATTCAATCCACATGTTTCTGATTCATTTGCACGTAAATCATCCAAATGTTGTTTTTGCAAGAGCCGTTTTGCAGCCCACAGCTCCTGGGGGCTTTCTTTGTAAGTCCTCATGAGCCTTTTTTCTTAGAAACAGGAAGTTGTCTCTTGCCAGATGCAGGTCAACTTAAACCCCCTAAGATTTGGGATCCCTTGGACATGCTGCCCCCCATCCCTTGGGATTCAAGTAGTCCTAGATGGGATTCGGCCTGCCAGTGCATAATTTCGATGGAGAGCCTGGTGCTAAGATGGTGTGGCTCCTGAGAGGAGGGCAGGGAGGGTCTTTGCATTGTGATGGCTCAGCACAGTTCTGTGTCCCCTAAGGGGCCCCTCATCCAGGCTGGAGGTGGGTCTAGACATCCTTACTGAGGGCAGGGCCGCCTGTGCAGATTCCTTGTGGTACCGCTTGCCTTACCCCTGGGTCTACTCCAAGTGCCTGCCTTGGGAGAGCAGTTCCCCATGGCATTGCCCAACAGCCCGGGCAGGGCGAATAGGACACTCACCATGGAGGAAGCTGACCAAATACCTGCGAGCTTGGTTGTGGGGCAGAGCCAAAATCTATCAGCTTGACCTTGAACATATCCCATGTGACTGGCCAAATTTAGAAATGGGATGTGTACGCCAACAGTGTGTGTGGGTAACTGCATAGGGGAGCTGATTAATTAGCTACCCGTTACACTGCCACAAAGAGCTGCGGTCGCTGCCACAAAGCTGAGTTAGCTGCGGGTCGGTCTAGAGCTCAGTCGGGAACATGGCGATTACAGCTCCAGAGCTCAGGCCCGGAGTCTAGAGAGTTAAGTGCTCTGGATAAGGACAGAGGGAACCCCACGGCCATGCCTCCAACTACCTGCTCCCACAAATGCTTGGGTCCAGGAAAATCAGCTCAGAGGCACCAGCTCTTCTGAATTGCTTTCAAGAAAAGTTGGGGGTGGGGGGATTATTACGACTAGTTTTGCAACCATCCGCACTACTAGTTTCTCACACTGGGTCACTGCAAACAGCAACCCCACCCCCTTGCAGGATTCGTTCTCGTGCCCCTCCCCCGGCCCATGGGAGACACTAATCTCTTTCTGCCTCTTCCAGAGATTTCCTCAGTCCACTCGTCCCCTCTTGGACATTCCGAGACTAACTTATTCGACTCAGAATGTTTCAAAATGTATTCAAAAGCAGAATGTTTTCCAGGTTCATCCATGATGCAGCATGTTTCAGAAGAGAGGTGAATTTTTTTTTTTTGAATAGGTAGATGAAATAGCCCAGTTTGTACATGTTAGCAAGTAGCTGAAATTAAAAACCACAAACAAAACCTGAAGGGCTCCTAGGGATCGAGTGGACTGGCCTGCCTGTCTGTTCCCGATCGTAAACGCCCTAGAGTCTGACGGAAGACTGGACTCCCCTGTGCTCATATGAAGACCCTGCGACTCGGACAGCCTGGGGCACGGGCGTCGGGAGAGGCGTGTCAGCGCTTCTCGACTCGCCCCTCCAGATGCTTAGCTCTGATGACTGACTTCTGCGGACAAGTTTACTGTCTGTGGCCTCTGAGCTTGGGTCCGTCCAAAGAGGCCATTTTTCTAAAGGAATCCTGTTGATCCATGAATGCAGGGTCACTCCTGATTCGGGAGGACTGTTCTTCTCCAATCTGTGCTGCAATCATGAAGATTAATTAAGTGGGTGAGAGGGAGGAGGGCCTGAGACTTGGAAGGTTCCAGAAATGCTGCTGGCTTGCTGACTTGTCCTACCAAGTGCGGTTGGGCCATGGAGATTCCCAGGAGGCCACCACACTCTCGGGGAGCCCACAGGCCAAGGAATCACAAGACAGCATGTCTCCCCCACTTCCCCCAGCAGTCAGGCAAGCCCCTGCTCTGACAGCAACTCTGAACCAAACTATTGGCGTGAAGGATGATACCTTTTTAATTAAGGTTACGACATTTTGATAAGGACAAAAGACAACATGGGAAGTTTCGCAGGGCTGAGGGAAGCTGTAGAGTGCGCGTGGAATCCTGTCTTCCCCACACATCACCAGATGTGTCAGAAGTATGAGCTAATCGGGCATAGTGGGGAAGAGCTTGCACAGGCTGAACATATGCAAGAGACACAGACAACTGCTCAGGATTTACTGCCCGCCGCAGGATCTCCACAGTGAGGGGCCAGCCAGCCTGGGCTGCCACAAGGTGGAGAAAGGCAAAAAACAAAACAAGATCAATAAGCGGTGCAGGGTTTGAGGCACGACTTACTTTT